GTTGTAGCCACGACTACTGCCGGCGAGTGATGAAGAGAAGAGATGAGAGGCGAGCGTTTAGAGATGGAGGTGCAAGAAGAAAGTGAATAAAAGGTGTGTATCTTTGCAAAGTTGTTTTTTTTTTGGAATTGGAGAGGCAAAATAGAGAGGAATGGTGGTCATCGCCATTGTTGCAATTGCAGACCTGTGTGTGTGCGCGCGCTGTGCCGCGATCTACCTAGGGTTAGGGTTTCGCACCACCCCCTTCCCTCAAATCTGCTCCTTCCGTCATCTCCATCTCTGTCTCTCTCTACATATATGTTGTGTTTTCTATTTGATAGTTAAATCAGACCTTGGTTTTTGATCTGTTTGTTCATTGATATCTATTTGAATCTCTCTGAATCTATATTTATATATATATTGGTTTTTGCTCTGTTTGTTCATTGATATGTGTTACTTTTCTGTGTAGTCTATTTCATATGCTTTCTTAGAGAAGGATGATAGTGGTGTTAGGTTGATGATGATAGATCATAGATGCACCATAAGTGCTTATAGTGTCCTTTACGTTTGTGTGTGTGTTTGTGAAGACCATGTAAAGCTTGTTTGAGAATGAAAAGAACTTCAAAGTTTACTATCATTCTATGTTGAATCATTTATCTATGATGATGTATGTGCACATGTGCTTGTGAGTTATGACCTGTACATTTTTACTCGAATCGCCTCCTATAGCTTTGATGTGCTTCTCTAAGTCTTTATGAGGACTATACCTTTGTCAATTTCTATTGAAATATAGAATGGTGTCCTATGCATTTGCCGTGCAACATCCCCTTTTTAATGAGAACAATTGTAGACTTTAGAATGTTGGGAACACTGACAGTGTCCATGACTTCACGCTTTATTGTACTTTGATTAGGTTCCTATAGTAGATAATATATGTTCCTTGTGGGTTGTTTGGTGCCATTTGAGAAATTTATGACTGGACTTGTAACAAAAGGGAACTTCCAAAGGGAATTGACAACCATTTTTGATCTATTTCCTCTATTGGCTTATGCTACTTCTTTTAGAAATGGTATTGTTAATGCCTCTGTGATATTCCTCTATCATTGCTAATTTCTTAAAGAGCTATGTGTCAGAAATAGCTTACCGAAAAAATTGTCAATTAGGACTGGTTTGCTGAAATTGTTTTGGACTTTTGACTATCCACTGTTAAAGTTTTCAGTCTTTAATGTCTATGCCTTTAGGAGCACTCTAGTTTATTCAACCAATCTTTAATTGTTCTATATCTCACCCCCACCCAATAGTGGCCATTCTTATGTGAGAATTTGTTGAAACTCCAATAGTGATAAAGCATGACTTGAGGAAAATATATAAAGGCATTGTTAGATGCTCTTATGTGAGAATACAAATGAGGAAAAAATAAAGTTAAGAACAAGCATAAAGGTCAAAAAGAGATGGTTCATAGGTGTTTTGAAATGGGAAGAGCACACAGTAAGTTTGAGAAAAAACAAGAACCAAGAATCTCTTTTCACTTCAATGGATTGAAATACAATAATTTTGGGAATAACAAGAAAGGAGAAAGGACATCATTGATAGGGTATATTTAGACATGTATATTATAACGCCCTCAAAATAATAACATTAAACCCAACAAATAAGACAAGCGTTGATAGATAAACTAACCACCTTCTATCATTCATTAGAATTCCATTACATAAGTATTACATGTTAATCTCATAACAAAATGCCCTACGGGCTTACAGCTTTCCAAGTTAACATATTTAGACATGTATATGCTTATAAAAATATGTATACACACATGCATATATTGTCACTTGGAAAGAAATCACTACAGTAAAGGATTACTGCTTTTGAAACAATATATGGTCCAGTTGATGCTATGTTAGCTTGGTTTCCGTTAATGCTTACAGAATTTTAATGGAAACATTTTGAAATTTTGCATAATGATGCTAATATTAAATGTAGTTACAACATGCTTTCACTGAGTTTTTGTCACTGCTGATGGCAATGGTCTCTCTCTCTCTCTCTTTGATAGATTGTTATGACATGCTTTTATATGGTTCTTTATTTCTTTCTTTAATTGATGGAGAGTTAAACCTCACCTCCTCTTCTTTCTTTTAACTTGGTGATTAAGAGTTGATATTGTCTAAGCATTCATTTCTTATGCCCTTGTGGGTGCATGCAAGAATTATTTGAAGGTTACTACTTTTGTCAAGCACAAAGGGAAGATTTCTTTCAGCGAGCTAAGCCTCATGAGGGTCACCCTACAATATTAAGGTAAATATCCCATGTTTTGGTAGGTTATAAACTTTGTTCAGCTAACTGACCCCTATGCTGTATGCTATTGGAGGCCATGGGTATGGCATATCACAAGAACAAAAGTACATGCCTTGGCTTCCAACTGCATAGACATTTTAATCCAGTTGAGCATTTATGATATGGCTATGTGCATGCTCTGTAGGATGCAAAAACTCGCAAAAGAGTTGGGGGTAGTGATACCAGTTAGCTTCTTTGAAGAAGCAAACAATGCCCATTACAAATCAGTAGCCATAATTGATGCTGACGGCGCGGATCTTGGACTCTACAGAAAGTCCTATATTCTAGATGGACTAGGTACGTGGATCTGGCCGTGGGTTGCAACCTAACCTTTAATCTGCCATGTTTTTAAATTCAAGGACTTGCTTTAATATTTCCATAATAATGTTGCATCATGAAATGATAAAAACAAAGTAATCAATTTAGACCATGATTCTTGACAAGGGTCAGCTTCTCGAGACCGAGCAAATGTTCCGCGACGCCGGTGAGCAGTGGCCTGTTATTATCCCAAGGAGGAGATCCGCCAAGCAGCCCCTAGTACTAAGGTAACAGTTTCTGATCAAATCTCGGCATTTTTTGATTCATACATTTGATCGAACAATTGGTGGGTCTTGATTATTCTTTCTTCATCGTTGTTGTGGGTTTGATTTTCTGTTACATAAATTTGATGGGTTTTTTGTTTTATTCAAATTTTCTTTTCTATATATATATATATATATATTATGAGCAATTGGTGAATTCTTCAATAATGCATCTTTTTGAAACTTGTGAGAGATATTTGGTTCAAAGTTGGAAAATTTTTCAGATCAGATTTATGGGTCGAATTGCTTGACATTGGTCGGTATACCCATAAAAAGTAGTGAATATTTCAAAAAAGATATGCCAAAATATTTAAAAAAATACTCATGGGCGATGTATTTTCCTTGAAATAGATATGCCAAATTTAGAAATTTGATTTAGCATTATCATAATCGAAATTAAAATTATATATTAATAAAAGTAGGAAAATTGTCAACGGATATGAAAATTGTAATATAAAAGTAATATAAAAGTGGTTGCTTAAGATGAATCTCTGGTTTTGATTACACTATGATAGGTTTTTAGTCAACAGGGTCATTCTTCCATGAGAAGTGCATAACTCTTGGGAGCTTATTGGGTCTCATTCTGTAACTCTGTTAAAGGCAACCACTACATGGTACACCTATTGGTTATGTTACTCTTTGATCTAGCTTTACAATTTCAAGTCACCAAATAGTCTTTGAACTGTTTGTTAAAATGTCTGACCTAGAAATGTTTATTTTGAAATGATAAAGAATTAAAAATGCTATATGCTGATCAAGTCACCTATTGGTTATGTTACTCTTGGTTTGTTTTCTAACTCTAATGTTTAGGACAATTGATGTGGTGATTACACCTGGGTTTGTTGACAATTGGATTGGGAACAAAACTGCAGGAGCCTCTATTGCTTGTAAATACCAATGTAATTCTTTTTCTAGTTTTCTATTTAAGAATTCTTATTCTAGAAGTCAAAGTCAAGTCTCTAAAAGTCTAGTTTTCATTTTGCATTTCAAGAAGGTGATTTTATTTCTTCTTATTTTTCTGTCAGGTAGGTTTTGTGTTTTTTTCTTCCTTCTTCTTTTTATTTATTTATTTATTTATTTTTTAAGTTACAGAAATCTATCTATAGATTCTGTAAGTGTTTGATGCCATGTCTTTATGTCTGTTTTATTTTATTTTATTTTTGTTTCTTTTGATATTATTCGTTTTGTGGAGTACCAAAGACTCATGCCTGCTGGTGTGGATGACTACTGAGCTTGCATGTGATTATTCTTCTGATCAGCATAGAAGATTTGATGGAACTAGTAACTCTTTGGTAAGTTACTACAAATATTTTCTTTCATATCAGTAATTCCGGTAAAAAATAAATAAGTATAAATATATATTTGTAGTGCGGGTCATGGGTAGAGGATATTCTTGAGAGAGAGAGAGAGAGAGTAGCTGATGATGGTCCAGCGACAAAAGGGGCTGTTGTACAAGCTGTCCGGGTATGATTCAATTGCTTTCATAGTGTGGATGATGGAAACAGTCATGTTTTCATTTGCATATAGGAGCTCATTTGTTTTCTTTGTGTACTTTGTTGGTTATGAAAGCTTGAAAAAGTCTAATTACACATTCACATGCAAAGTGTTTAAAATCAAAACCAACAGTCATGTCAAGCCTTAGTTAACATCTTAAAAAAAGCCAACAATATTTTTGCTGCAGTATCTAAACATTGAAATGGCTCCTCATTTCCTACCACTTTAGAAAATTCTATCGAACTTTCTTTTGTAGGAGACCCTTACAGGCACCTCATCCAAGGTTGCATTTAATAATATTTTCAATAGATTTGAGATGTGGTAAGGGTTGTTTTTATTTTTACGTCGTAGATAAACAAGCTTCTTCTCTACTATCTCATAGAAATCTAGACTATAGCACTTGGTAAATCACCTATCAAACATGATTTTAATTTAAGGGAAAATCCGCTTTACCCCTTTAGGGTTTGGCCTTGGAGCACTTGACTACCTGTCAATTGAAAATACCATAGACTCCTCATGTGCTTTTAGACCAAATTGCAACACTAACTCCGTAATCTTAATACCTATCTACTTTCTTCTCATTCTCTCTCTTCTGTTATATATAATATATTTTTTTATTCTAATTACATGTTAACCAAATAAATTATTAGCCTATACACCCTAACATTATAATTTATTTTGTAAGTTATATCTTAATTTATAATTTAATCATATTATACACATATAACATTGTATATATAAATGAACAAGTTTTAGGAAACAATACACTAGAGTTATTCAAATTCGAAGATGTATTTTCGGTACTGGAATTGATTTTCAGGACTAGAATGTGTGATGGTAGTGGGTGCTACTGGGTTTGTATAGAATGGTGGGTGAGGGGTGAGGGAATGGCAAGGCTAGTGGGTGAGGGGAGACAGGGTGGGCTAAGTTGGGGAGAGGGGTTGACAGGAGATGGTTGTGGAAGTGAAAAACGATTACAGGGGTGGTGGGTGAGCAATTTACTTCTGTTTTGCAATTTCAATTCTAGTTGCATTTGCCTTTTACTTTATGCTAGTTCATAGCTTTTAAATTTATATTTATTTTTTGTTAACGCTAAAAGTACACTTTATGTTGTAGGAAGATAATGAGTTGCGTCTTGTACCTGGTGATGAGTTGCGGCTACGCTATTTAGGAGATGCAGCTCATGCGGCAGTCAGTAGGGCATGTGGTAAGCACTTTTTTTAATATAATTTGTTATTTCTTTTGGTTGTCATCTTTAGTTTTTGATTTTGTTTTAATTTCTCTTGGTTAATTTTTCCATTGAGAAGTTGTCATATAAAATGTTGTCCTCACCCCACCTTGCCTCACCATCTAGTGTCCAAACACCGCCTACTGGTGTTTCAGCCTCAGCTGCGAAGAACAAGGGGATGGATAATTACAAACAGGGGAAGTATGCCGATGCCATAAAGTGGCTTTCTTGGGCTGTGATTCTTCTTGAGAAGACTTGTGATGGTGCTGCTTCCATGGAGGTCTTATCTAGCAGGGCTTCATGTTACAAAGAAGTTGGGGAGTATAAAAAGGCTGTGGTAGATTGTACAAAGGTATATAATAATTCTTTTGTGGTGAAGAATTTTTTAAATTCTACTTGCAAGGTTGAAGATTTATATTTAACCAACTCATCTAGTGTAAAGATTATAGCCTATGAATTAGTTTTAATTGTTCCTTAACATGCTACTGTTAATTTGATGGCTTAAAAGTTATTAAGAGTCATATAGTTTGGAGAGTTGTTTGAAGGATTGATGGGTTTGGTTGCCGTGACAAACATGGATCATGGGAAAATGATAATTTTTTACTTGAATTTTCCTAGATCCTACTAGTCTGATTAGGTAGATTTCACAATAGCTCTCTAATCCACTTGGTGGATTTTTCAAACTGGAAGGCCTAAAATAATCTGTGTTACATATATTTAAGAATTCTATTGGTGTAAGTTATTGGATAGTGACTGATTTAAGTGATGGCAACCAATATAGTGCAATATCTTACGATTCTGCTTATTATATGGACAATGGATCTCTGTTAATTGAAAATATTAAATTGCAAATTGCAACAAAAAATATCAAATTGCAATCATGAATCATCATGCTTTATTGAGTTGACCTGTTCTTTTTATAACACATAGTGGACTTCATGTCTCTCTATATTCCCATGTGCCTATTATATTTGATAGCAGTGGAATTTGGTAAGGTCTTTAGAGTACAATTAAAAAAAGAATTAATTGTAGTTTGATATGGAGAGGCAAACTGTGTGCTATACTTTGATCCCCAGGCTTGATGCCTTGGGGAATTTGAATGCAATGCTTATCTTCTTCTTCTACTTCTCTTTATTTTTCTTTTAATTTATACAATATCAGGTCCTTCTGAACTTAAAATTAGACATTGTTAACCTTCTCCTACACTTAAAATACTATTTGATAAGCCTAAATCCTACTCTCCTCAGACGTCTTAGCCTCATACCAAAAAAACTAAAAACTCAGCCTAGCTACTGTCCACATGCATGGAACACAGTACCCAAATAGCCAAAAAATCCCTACTTTATTCACAATCTGCCTAATTCTAAATACCCAACTGCAGTCCCAAAAGTATAGCAAGAATTTTCTTGAATTTCCAGTGTTCTCTCCTTTCAAAACATGGCCAACTCTTCCTAAATTTATGTTCTTAACAGTAAAGCATCAGCATATATGGTATATTTAAAGTGATATATATGGCATATTTGAGGGACTAAAGAGTGTAATTTTTAATTGAGTTTTCACATTAATGGCACACATAACATATTTTAGGGTTGTCTGAATTAAGTTCTTTCTGTTGATGTTGAATTAAAAACTATTTTGGGTTGTCTGAATTGGTTTCGTTCTATAATTGTGTGATTATTGTTGGATTTGTTGAATTGTTGTGTTGAACATGTTTTTTGGTTTTTTTCTTTTTTTTTTTCTCCTGGTACATGGGAGGCAGTAGCATAGGTGGAGTTCTGCTTGTGATAAGACTTACTTGAGTACCCTTGAACTCATACTCTCTCAGTTCGTTGGCGTGTGGTTCACTATTCCAGATTATTTACATTTAGTGATTTTTAAAAAATTTGTGGAATTGACTTTGGCATTTGTGTTTTTATGTTGTTTAAATTTTTTTGTTATGATATTCTTGTAGTACTGCCATTTACTTTTTGATTAGTTACATTGTCTATCACACTGTTGCGCTATTGGTGTCTGCTAATGCTTGTTAATTTTATGAACTTATTGTTTGAATAGGTTTTGATGCGTTATATTAGGACACTTAGCACCTGTAGTTTGGATACTTTGAAGGACTTCAATTATGAAACGGTTGAACCGAGTACATAAATGGTCTTAGGGAAGAGTTGAGCAGAATACTCACATTAGCACAACAAGACATTTCTGTAGTTAACAGGGAGAGTTGAAGAGAAAATGAGATGGTCTGAGGGGATTCATCAAGCTGTAGAAGCCAAAGAAGGTGTCAAAATTGAGGTATCCCTTGAGGTTTCAATCTTTACAGAGTTTTTCTTTTACATCAAAACTTTCTTTCTTATTGTACTCAAAGCTATATTATCCTTACACTTGCTAGGCTCAATTCCTTTAACCTAGCAAAAACCATCATTGATGAATTGATTACAAAGATTCAGTGCTTTTATATTTAATCTAATCATAACAAACTAATCTAACCACGGTTTAATTCTAACAACCTAACTACTTGAAACAATTATGCTAGTTCTCTTTATAACACGTGAGCATGACTAAAGCTACAGCCCTATCTGTTCTGACTTTAGCCGCTCTGGCTACGGCTAGTACTGCAGCCTTGTTGTGTTGACCTGGCCTAGTCTTGCTGCAGCTGGGGTTGCAGTGGCCAGCTCTGGCTTATGCTCTATTTTGATATAATGTGTATCTGTCACATTTACATGTAGTGAGATTTGTTATTATACTTATATAATAATTACTGAGAAATATATCATGCATCCATAATCATGTCATATCATCTAAAATAAATTTTTTTCCCTACTCAGCACAGCAAGTTAATATATATATAATTTAGGTAAAAATAAAGTGGTTGGTGGATTCTCATCATTTATTGTGTTCATGCCAACAGCTACAAAATTACAATGGATGATTCATGTTTTTCTACTTCAAAATCTTCATTGAGAGTGTGCCAGTGTAATTTTGTTTCCCTTTCCTGCCCTCTTAGCAGCCCAATGCTATTATAACTTTAATATTCGGATCCATCATGATTTTTCTTGACTTTTTATGTTATTATAATTTTATGTCTATAGTTGTTGTAAATCATAACACAAAAACATGCAGCGGAATAAAATCATCAGATCATACCTTTTGATGATAGAACCTCGTGGATAAATCACGTGCTTCCAGAATCGGATCAATCAATCCCAGCAGTGGGGTGATATTACAATGGTGAATATCACCCACACAAACCACAGTGCAAAATGACTTTGATCGTTGTTTCTTGGGAGAGAGTCAGAATATGGGTTGAAACAGACTCAACGTTGTTTCTCTTTGATTACCCATAACCATATAACAAATATTTAATATATTATAATATCTATCCATATCAGTTAAGATACAGATAATATCAAATATATATTATATCTATCTATATCAGTTCAAACTGATAACGTCTGTTTCAAGAGTGGTTATCCTAAATAGGTTTGATTTCAAAATCAAAACCTATTTGGATAAGGATTCAAAATCAAATTTTAATGGTCATGCCACATGGGCGCCCATTACTAACAGTTGTTAACTGGGTAGTTTAGTTGTGGTTTCACTAATAGATAGCTTTTGCTAGAAAATTAAGTATCTTATCTTATCTGTTTCACTAATTGATTTGTGTGTCTTTCTCTTTGTAGCTAGCAGAAGCAGCAAAAGCACAATTTTCACGTGATTACAGTGATAACCTTGCTCTTGTCCGGGCTTGTGAGGCCTGGAAAGAAGCTGAAAGAGACGTAGCTGGATATGAATATTGTTGGAAGAATTTTCATTCTGCTCAATCAATGAAAGCTATTGATGCTCTGTGAAGGGAGTTCTACTCTTCCCTTAAGGAATATGTTTAAAATTTTAATGCTAAAGTGGATGTGAATTGGATGATTATATAGATTACAAACGGGTTTTTAATTGAATGAATATGTAGTTTGGAATTACTTGTAGATGAAAACTTATAATAGTTGCAGACTTTAATCAAACAGGTTCAGAGTTTGATGATTTATATAGTTTGTTGAATGTTCATGATTCAGGTGAATTGTTGGTTTGATTGATTATTGTAAATTACAGATTGTATTGAATAGATTGGATAGATTATTATGAATTACAGATTTATTTTATTGCATGTTGGCGCAAACATTTCTTTTGGCGACCAAAACTTTTTGGTCCTAGAATGTCACAATTGGCGACCAAAATTTTTGGTCGTGGAATGTCACAATTGGCGACCAAACTTTTTAGTCGTGGAATGTGATAATTGGCGACCGAACCTTTTGGTCGTGGAATGTGACAATTGGTGACCAAACTTTTTGGTCGTGGAGTGTGATAATTGGCGACTAACATGTTTGGTCGAGAATATGTCACTTTTCGTGACTAAAGTGTTTTAGCGACTAAATAGATTAGTCGCAGTAATGATATATTTAGTGATGAAAAATTTAGTCGGCAAATTTAACTTTTTCCCGACTAACAAAAGTTTTGGTTGCTAATTACTTTTGCCGACTCTCAATTGGCGACCAAGGTGGCGACCAAAAAAATTGGTCGCAAATAGCTTTTGTCGACTAAAAATTGACTTTTGCCGACCAAATTTTTAGTCGCCAAAAATGCGATTTCTTGTAGTGAATATTGCCGACCAATCTTTTTGGTCGTGGAATGTATTGCTGACCAAATTTTTTGGTCGCGGAATGTGACAATTAACGACCAAATTTGTTGGTCGTGGAAATGGGTGACAATTGCCGACCAAACTATTTGGTCGTTGAATGTGCGAATTGGCGACTAACATGTTTGGTCGGGAAAATATGACTTTTTGCGACTAAAGTGTTTTAGCTACTAAATGGATTAGTTGCAGTAATTATATACTTAGCGATTAAAAATTTAGTCGGCAAATATAACTTTTTCGCGACTAAAAAATTTTTTAGTCGCTAATTACTTTCCGCGACCCTCAATTGGCGACCAAAGTGGCGACCAAAAAAATTAGTCCCGGATAATTTTGCCGACTAAAAATGGACTTTTGCCGACCAAATTTTTAGTCGGCAAAAGTGCGTATTCTTGTAGTGAGCGCAAAATATCGCGATGCGCAAAATCGCGCGACAAATGCATGCAAAATGCAAGTAATGTGCACAAAATAGTGCGATGAGGTGCGCAAGATAGCGCGATAAAATGCATGCAAAATGCAAGAAACGGTCACAGCGTAAAATAGCGCGATATGCAAAATAGCGCAACAAATGCATGCAAAATGCAAGTAATGTGCACAAAACAGTGCGATGAGGTGCGCAAGATAGCGCGATAAAATGCAGGCAAAATGCAAGTAATGTGCACAAAACAGTGCGATGAGGTGCGCAAGATAGCGCGATAAAATGCATGGAAAATGCAAGTAATGGTCACCGCGCAAAATAGTGCGATGAGCAAAATAGCGCTATAAAATGAAAGCAAAATGCAAGTAATGTGCACAAAATAGTGCGATGAGGTGCGCAAGATAGCGCGATAAAATGCTTGCAAAATGAAAGCATTGTGCACAAAACCGTGCGATGAGGTGCGCAAGATAGCGTGATAAAATGCATGCAAAATGCAAGAAATGGTCACAGCGCAAAATAGGGCGATGCACAAAAAAGCGCGACAAATGCATGCAAAATGCAAGTAATGTGCACAAAATTGTGCGATGTGGTGCGCAAGATAGCGCGACAAAATGCATGCAAAATGCAAGTAATGTGCACAAAACAGTGCGATGAGGTGCGCAACATAGCGCGACAAAATTCATGCAAAATGCAAGTAATGTGCACAAAACAGTGCGATGAGGTGCGCAAGATAGCGCGATAAAATGCATGGAAAATGCAAGTAATGGTCGCAGCGCAAAATAGCGCGATGCAGAAAATAGCGCACAAATGCATGCAAAATGCAAGTAATGTGCACAAAACAGTGCGATGAGGTGCGCAACATAGCGCGACAAAATTATGCAAAATGCAAGTAATGTGCACAAAACAGTGCGATGAGGTGCGCAAGATAGTGCGATAAAATGCATGGAAAATGCAAGTAATGGTCACCGCATAACATAGCCCGATGAGCAAAATAGCGCACAAATGCATGCAAAATGCAAGTAATGTGCACAAAACAGCGCGATGAGATGCGCAAGATAGCGCGATAAAATGCATGCAAAATGCTAGAAATGGTCACAGCGCAAAATAGCGCGATGCGCAATATAGCACGACAAATGCATGCAAAATGCAAGTAATGTGCACAAAACAGTGCGATGAGGGGCGCAAGATAGCGAGACAAAATGCATGGAAAATGCAAGTAATGGGCACAAAATAGTGCGATGAGGTGCGCAAGATAGCGCGAAAAAATGCATGCAAAATGCAAGAAATGATCACAGCGCAAAATAGCGCGATGCGCAAAATAGCGCAACAAATGCATGCACAATGCAAGTAACGTGCACAAAACAGTGCGATGAGGTGCCCAAGATAGCGCGATAAAATGCATGCAAAATGCAAGTAATGTGCACAAAACAGTGCGATGAGGTGCGCAAGATAGCGCGGTAAAATTGAATGCAAAATAGCGCGACAAATGCATGAAAAATGCATGTATTGTGCACAAAACTGTGCGATGAGGGGCGCAAGATAGCGAGACAAAATGCATGGAAAATGCAAGTAATGTGCACAAAATAGTACGATGAGGTGCGCAAGATAGCGCCAAAAAATGCAAGCAAAATGCAAGAAATGATCACAACGCAAAATAGCGCGATGCACAAAATAGCGCAACAAATGCATGCAAAATGCAAATAATGTGCACAAAATAGTGCGATGAGGTGCGCATGATAGCGCGATAAAATTCATTCAAAATGCAAGTAATGTGCACAAAATAGTGCGATGAGGTGCGCAAGATAGCGTGATAAAATGCATGCAAAATGCAAGTAATGTGCACAAAACAGTGCGATGAGGTGCGCAAAATAGCGCAGTAAAATGCATGCAAAATGCAAGAAATGGTCACAGCGCAAAATAGCGCGATGCGCAAAATAGCGCGACAAATGCATGCAAAATGCAAGTAATGTGCACAAAACAGTGTGATGAGCTGCGCAAGATAGCGCGATAAAATGCACGCAAAATGCAAGTAATGTGCGCAAAACAGTGCGATGAGGTGCGCAAGTTAGCGCGATAAAATGCATGGAAAATGCAAGGAATGGTCACTGCGCAAAATAGCCCGATGCGTAAAATAGCGCACAAATGCATGCAAAATGCAAGTAATGTGCACAAAACAATGCAATGAGATGCGCAAGATGGCGCGATCAAATGCATGCAAAATGCTAGAAATGGTCACAGCGCAAAATAGCGCGATGCGCAAAATAGCGCGACAAATGCATGCAAAATGCAAGTAATGTGCACAAAATTGTGCGATGAGGTGTGCAAGATAGCGCGACAAAATGCATTGAAAATGCAAGTACTGTGCACAAAACAGTGCGATGAGGTGCGCAACATAGTGCGACAAAATGCATGCAAAATGCAAGTAATGTGCACAAAATAGTGCGATGAGGTGCGCAAGATAGCGCGATAAAATGCATGGAAAATGCAAGCAATGGTCACGGCGCAAAATAGCGCACAAATGAATGCAAAATGCAAGTAATGTGCACAAAATAGTGCGATGAGCTACGCAAGATAGCGCGATAAAATGCATGCAAAATGCTAGAAATGGTCACAGCGCAAAATATCGTGATGCGCAAAATAGCGCAACAAATGCATGCAAAATGCAAGTAATGTGCCCAAAATTGTGCGATGAGGTGCGCAAGATAGCGCTACAAAATGCATGCAAAATGCAAGTAATGTGCACAAAACAGTGCGATGAGGTGCGCAACATAGCGCGACAAAATGCATGCAAAATGCAAGTAATGTGCAAAAAACAGTGCGATGAGGAGCACAGGATAGCGTGATAAAATGCATGCAAAATGCAAGTAATGTACACAGAACAGTGCGATGAGGTGCGCAAGATAGCGTGATAAAACGCATGCAAAATGCAAGTAATGGGCACAAAACAGTGCGATGAGGTGCGCAAGATAGCGCGATAAAATGCATGGAAAATGCAGGTAATGGTCACAGCGCAAAATAGCCCGATGCGCAAAATAGCGCACAAATGCATGCAAAATGCAAGTAATGTGCACAAAACAGTGCGATGAGGTGCGCAAGATAGCGTGATAAAATGCATGCAAAATGCAAGTAATGTGCACAAAATAGTGCGATGAGGTGCGCAAGATGGCGCGGTAAAATGCATGCAAAATGCAAGAAATGGTCACAGCGCAAAATAGCGCGATGCGCAAAATAGCGCGACAAATGCATGCAAAATGGAAGTAATGTGCGCAAAACAGTGCGATGAGGTGCGCAAGATAGCGCGATAAAACGCATGCAAAATGCAAGTAATGTGCACAAAATAGGGCGATGAGGTGCGCAAGATAGCGCGATAAAATGCATGGAAAATGTAAGTAATGGTCATAGTGCAAAATAGCCCGATGCGCAAAATAGCGCACAAATGCATGCAAAATGCAAATAATGTGCCCAAAACAGTGCGATGAGGTGCGCAACATAGCGCGACAAAATGCATGCAAAATGCAAGTAATGTGCACAAAACAGTGCGATGAGGTGCGTAAGATAGCGCGACAAAATGCATGGAAAATTCAAGTAATGGTCACAACACAAAATAGCGCGATGCGCAAAATAGCGCACAAATGACTGCAAAATGCAAGTAATGTGCGCAAAACAGTGCGATGAGGTGCGCAATATAGCGCGATAAAATGCATGGAAAACGCAAGTAATGGTCACGGCGCAAAATAGCGTGATGCGCAAAATAATGCACAAATGAACGGAAAATGCAAGTAATGTGCTCAAAACAGTGCGATGAAATGCGCAAGATAGCGCGATAAAATGCATGCAAAATGCTAGAAATGGTCACAGCGCAAAATATCGAGATGCGCAAAATAGCGCGACAAATGCATGCAAAATGCAAGTAATGTGCACAAAATAGTGCGATGAGGTGCGCAAGATAGCGTGATAAAATGCATGCAAAATGCAAGTAATGTGCACAAAACAGTGCGATGAGATGCGCAAGATAGCGT